CTCTCTCTCTCTCTCTCTCTCTCTCTCTCTCTCTCTGTGTGTGTGTGTGTGTCTGTCTGCCTGTCTCCGACTCTCTGTCTCTCTGGCATCGTTCTCCTTATCCCCCTGTCGGTTCCTCCGGGGTTACCTCACCACGCTCACTCGTCGGTTACAGCTACACTCCGGGCAGGCACAATTGGGTGGCGGCTCCCTCTCGGTGGGACCCCCACTACTGCAGCGTGTGCAGCGAAGCCATCGCATGGAACTCAGACGCCGGCGTCCGTTGCCAGGTGGGTCGTCACGTGGTTGTAGATTCTTCAATGATCGTGGATCTCCTAGGCTGCAAATGATCATGACAGTCATGCTTTTTGGTGCCTGGCGCTACTGCTGCAACGTGCCGTGGCAGCAACGCGGTGGGGGTTCGTGGGTAGGTGATGGAGGTCAACAAATGCGCGCTACGAGATCAGGCCGAGGCAGCGTTGGCAATCGTGCTTGAACGGGGTTGCCAGTTGCTTCCAGCGTGACCCTTGCTGTTCGTCGGCTACACATAGTTCGGGGCGGCGGTTGTTATTTCCAAGACACTGATGTTTTGTGCAGTCTCTGGGAGGAAGTTTTTGACCATGGGATGCTTGTGTCCCTGATTCTTTCCTCGCCTTCCTGCAGTCTGGATTTGATCAACTCTCTCGCGCTTGCGCGAAGTAGAAGAAATCACACTGTTCGGGAACTGCGGTTTAGCCCACCCTGCTGGTTGCGGAACGGCGGCATTTCCCCGGGCTGCCCCCCCCCCCTCCCCCTCGAACATTGATGTTGAACGCCGCCCTCCTGTTCCGGGACAACCCTCATCGTTCCGTCGAAGATATGCGGATCGCATGCGCACGCGAGCTGCAGCAAGCGCGCCCATAAGGAAGGGTTGGGATGCAAGACCCTGTGCAGCGCGGACGTGGAAACCTCTCACAAGCGGCTGTATCACCCACTGGTATGTATACTACCCGTTTTGTGGTTGTCATGGTGGTTTGTTGGCTACGTGTAGCAGTGCCGTTAGCGAAGTTCCGTTCGTGTTCGGTGTTTGTTTTTTTCTGTTCATTTTGTGCTTCTGTCGACCGTTCACTGACCACTTACATGTTGCACTTTTATCGTAAACACGACATGGCTATACTGCTGCTGTGCGGCGGACGTTTTCAGGAGGAGGCCGAGGACGAAGACGACGACGCTTGCCTCCTCCCGGAGCCGGAGGAAAAACCTCCTCCTGTGATGCGGCACCAGTGGATGCGCGGGAGCATCGACGACTCTCAGGTAGGTAGTGCACACGCGAGGCCTGCGCGTGTCTGCATGTGTCTTGGTTTTTCGCATTGAACGCGCTTACCCGGGTGGCCATATGAATAGACTTCAGTCTCGTTGCGATTAGTAACGGAGAAGTGTGTGTGTGTGTGTGTGTGTGTGTGTGTGTGTGTTAATTGTTTGCATCGATCGTGCTAACTAACCGGCCAACCTAGTCATTAGACTTGAGTTTCAGTGCAACTAATAACTGAGATCTGCTGTGTGTCTTGTTTGTTGTTTGCTGTTTTGTGCTGTCGAATCTGGTAGCCGTGTGCCGCCTGCGGAGGTTCTTGCGCTGGCAGCGGCGCCACGGGACAACACGGATTCTCCTGCGCCTGGTGTAAGCTACAGGTGAACCGGCCGTGATGAAGAGGGGAGATATGTTTTTGCCGGATTCTCGTCCAAAGCTAGCGGTACCAATAGTTGTGGCCAGGTTTTGATGTGGTGTGGTCCCTATGGACCACCCGGCGCTGTTTTGGTAGAGAACAGGATGTGTTGGGTGACAAACACATTACTCGCACACGAGATTGACGACACACTTAACTTTCCTCCAGGGATGCTAAAAGCATTGTGGGGTGTTTTTGGTTTGATTCAGCACCACCTACGTACGGTTGCCCCCCCCCCCAGCAACGGTTGAGATGCCGGTCGAAGGCCACACCCGTGCCATCACCCGGTGACGTGCTCCGCCGAAAGCTTTGTACACAGCCGTCGCCATCGTCGTCGTCGATAGCACGAAAATAGTTGTAGATGATTATCCCATGTTTTTGTCGTGTGCCGCTATTTTGCCTACGAGAGGATTGTGCCATGTCGTGTACCGATTTTTGGCTGCAGAGAGTTTATGATGTTGTCGTGTGGTTTGCAACGCCTTGGAAATAGGAAAGGTACCAGCATGATACGCTTTTGTGTCCCCTTTCGCCACCCCCTATCATCGCTACAATACGTCGAAATCACGCCGTGGAAGACAGGCCTTGCGGCCGGGACGGACGTTATTACTTGCTAAGGAAAGAAAATTCAACGAATCCCCTCGAACGGGTTGTCATGTCGAACGCCCATGGTAGTATTTCTTTGACGTTGTGAAGAGAATTGTTTCGACCAACGAGGTGGCCAGAAACTGCTGGTCTGGTCCTTGTTTTTGGGTTGGTGCCCCTTATTGTCGCTTTGGTCTTCGTTTCGCCTCCTTCAGGTGCACGAGGGCTGCATCTCCCGCGTGACCCACACGGAATGCTCGCTCGGCCGACACCGCCGCTTGATCCTCCCGCCGATCGCGGTGCTCAAGGACCAGCCGCGAAAAAAACGTAAGAGGACCCCACGCGAGGGAGGTGTACTAACCCGTGTCTTAAGACCATTGACCTCGTATCCCGACCGAGCGATATGCCGGCTTGTAGCCGGCCCAGGCTCATTTCACAAGGATGTACCGGAAGCTGGCCATTACTCCCGCGANTTCTTCCTTGCGTACGGATGACAGTTGCGTATGACTTAATTTATTTTCTGGTGCTTTCACTTCCTGAGACAGTTGTAAGCGCTATGTAACTGCCTCGAGGGTGCTTGGCCATTTTAACACAACGTGGTGCGATTACCCCCCTTGCGCGGAGTGAGGGTTCTCGACCCCGCACAACATGATCTACTCGGACCACCATTTAGGGGGGGGGGTGATATCGTATGTATCAGTTTTCTCCTTATCTGGTCAAGCAACAGCAATCGTCGCCGCAGTAAAGACGATCGTTTAAAATTGCCTTCTTCCCGCGTAGGTTATTTTTTTTCACAACCATCGTGGCCCGTGAGTTGAAAAGCATGGGACAGGGCCGAAACTTTTTGAGATGCTCACCCCGCGTTGCGGACGCTCAAGAGTATTCGAGAAAGTCCGTCCATGAAAGGAGGACCGCTGTATTCCCCTCTAGCCCGAACCCGATCACCGCTCTGCATCACCACCTTCCCGTTGAAATACNCCCCCCCCCCTTAATCCTGTCATTCCTATTGGTATACTGTACAGGCGGTCTCATTCGGGACGCGGTGAGCAAGGTGCGGAGGGTCCTTCCCGGACACCGCGACGACGAGTGCGAGCCGCCTCCGTACAGCGTGGATCCGAACGACCCCGAAACGGTAGCGCCGGCGACAGGGGGAGCATCGGCCGGGCAAGGCGCCGGCTCTTCGGACGGAGGAGGGTCCGACCAGGGGAGCGGGTTCGTGGAGGCCGTGAGGGAGGCGGCGGCGGCGCTGGACGTCTCGGGGGCGAAGGAGGTCGGGAGCCGGCTTGCCGGAAAGGTGACAGATCGGGTCAAGGCGGAGCGTGGAAGTCCCCCGAAAGGGATCGATCGGGTGCATGCACCTGCCAGCAGGCGTTGATCGCGTCGTCGCAGTGATATGTTCTGTTTTGCGACGTACTGTAAGCGTCACTTTTTTTTTTTGTGCCCCGAACATCGATCGAATGGCTGGTAGATAATGCGGTTGCCTTCCGAGGAAGTACATGATGTTCCTCAGGCCTTAGAACGAGCGAGAGTTCACGACGAACGCTGCTGTTTTTGTCCACCCACTGCCGCCAACGCTGCCGCCGTGCAAAGGTTCGGGACGCCGGCGAGAAGGTTTTGGATGCCGGGTTCGACGTGGCGGCTGGCCTTGATGTCGCCGGGGACAGCGCTAAGGAGGGGGGGCGGCGGCTGGCGGAGAAGGTATTGGACGCCATGCCGATCGAGCTCGAGGACGATGTATGGGAAGAGGCGTTAAAGGGGGAGGGGTGCAGGAGTGTGGACAAGGATGTAGATGACGACGGTGGTGATGGTGACGATGATTCTGAGCCGCCGCCCCCTGCGACTAGTATTCGTGAGGCCGAGGTCGACGGAGTGTGGGAAGAGGCCCTGTCCCTGTCGGCTGCGGCGAAAGGAGAGGAGGGGGAGTCGTCGCTCGCAGGCGATGCCGAGGGGGAGAGGACGGCCGCAGGGACGGCCGTGAAAGGGTTGGGGGGGGGAGAGAAGGCGTCGTCGAGGCGCGGGGGCCAGTCATTGCGACCAAGGCCAGCAGCGGATGAAGAAGCAGCGGAAGAAGCGGTAGCGGAGAGGGGAGGGGATGAGCGGACCGTCGGGTCTCCTGGCATTGCAGCAGTTGACGGTGATGGCGGTCAATGGGATGGCGATGGTGATGGCGACGGTCAAGGTCGGGGTGACGGCGGCGGCGCGTGGGGTTCGGGGAAAAGTGCGGACGATGAAGGCGGTGTCGGAGAAGAAAACAACGTTGGCGTGACAGCGGCAGCTGCAGAGTCGGGCCCCGCGGGAGGGGATGCACCGGCGATATCATCCCCTGTCGACGAAGCTTGGACCGATTCGTCGTCGCAGGAGGACGGGGGCGTGGAGGATGACGTCATCCCTGAGGGGGCTCGGGAGACGATCGTGTCGGAGTTCGTCTCTTTGGTCCCCAGCGATGGCGGCGGAGGCGGAGGCGGAGGCGGAGGCGGAGGCGGAAAGACAACCGTTGCATCGTCGGAGGATGGGGGAGGGGCGGGAGCGCGGGCAGCCGGCCTAGAAATGCTCAACTTGGGAGAGCCTTCGGAAAACGCGGCGGCGGTGTCCTCTGTCGGTGGCGATCCCGACGAGAGCGGGGAAGGAGCTCCGCCGGGCGTGCCGGGTGTCTTGGAGGCCGGAAGCGTTGGGCAGAAGCCGGACTACCAGGAGGTCGGCGGGGTAGGCGTGGCTGGTTGGGGGAAGGATGGAGAAGGGGAGGCTGGCGAGCAGCATGCGGGGGGGGCGACGGGGGGGGGCGAGAAAGAAGACGGGGTGGCAGAGGAGGAGGAAGACGAAGAGGAGGAGGAGGAAGACGAGGAGGAGGAGGACCAAGAGTGGGTGGTGAAGATGCAAGAGCTGGTTCCCAAGTTCCAGACCAGGTGTGTGTTTTTTTTGTGTGCACTTTTTTTTTTTTTTTT